TCTTTGCCAACCAGAAAAAGAAGTTGGTGACAGTCTGTGAGAAGTAGTAACAATAAGACTGAGATGGTACAAGAAATTGGTTGGGGCATATACAGACAGGAAGTCAAGGGGATTGTGAATACATGGTACCAGCTGTGAAAAGGATCAAGCAAAGATCACAGCCAGGTAGGAGAGAGGGCATGCGACTGGCAGGGGCTCTGTTGAAGAAGCAGCAGCAGGAGGTAGCTGGGGGTCTCGGCTGGGGCTGTGGACACCCTTGGGAGGAGGATGCTGTGCACTGGCTCTTAGCAAGGGTGGGACTCCAGCAGGGAGAGAACAGCATGAGACAGGAAGTTCACAGAGGCTGATTCCTGCTTAAAAAAGCACAGCCTTGAAGGACCAGTAACACAGCAGGAAGCTGCAGCTATGTAAAGGACGAGAGGCCCCTCTCAGGGACAAAGTGATACCAAAGTGAGTGAGCCTAGACCCCGGACCCATGGGAGTCTGGCACAGTGCCCCTCCTGACCTCCCAGGACCAGGTCCACGGGGCCAGGCCCCAGGCTCAGGCATGCTCCTGTCCTTGACTACTGAGCCCAAACCACTTACACATCAGGGCATGGCCACATGCCTGCATGCTTCCTGGTCGGGGTATCATTGGAAATTGTGTCTGTCAATTCTTGGCCACCCTTCATGGGAATGAGCACCAGCTCCCCAACCCTTTCTCAGGGCTGGGAGTTGGGTGGAAGGTGGGAGATGGAAATGCCACAATGGACCAGAGAGAGGACCCTCCCTGCCCTGGACAGCCTGCTTCTAGATTCACGTACAGAGGAGTAAACGAATGCCCCTTTCCATTAGTGAGGCCACAGTGCTTGGGGTGTCTTTGTGACAACAGCCTAGAACACACCTCTGGGACATGAGGCCCCATTCCTACTGTTCTTAGAAGAATTACTGCCAGGAACACATCAGGGAGACAAGACTCTGTCTGAAAGGAGGAAGTTTCGGGCTTTTTGGAGCTGTATAAATCCCCAATTTCCAGGGGCGGGAATCCAGGCTTCCTACAATCTGGGTAGTCCTTCCCAGAGTTGCCCTGCACCCTCCTCAGGTACCGCTGACCAGGGTTGCCACAGACCACGCCCAGCTCCCTGCCACCTGGCCCCAGGTTGACCTGAGATGGAGCCTGACTTGAAGCAGGGTCTGTGTCTCAGCTCTCCTTGCTGCCTGCACAGAATGCAGGGGGGCTCCTCACACCCCAGTCACACACGTCCACTGCCACGAGGCGGCCAAGGGTCTCAAACAAAGGTTCGGTGAATGGGCCCACTCTGCCTCTCTGAATCTCAGAGCCCTCGATTCTACAATGGGTGCGGTGTGCTTTCCCTGACAAGCTGGGGGGATGGATGAAGCCTCACCTGGATGAAGGGCCCCAGGCCCGCACCTGGCACACAACAGAGATCCAGGAGGAACACATGCTCCTCCTAATCTCACCCCTGACCCCAGCAGCAAGGAGAGTGTGTCACCAGCCCAGGGCAATGTGGAGGGCAGGGACCACTGGGGAGCTTCCAAAAATAAGTTTCCCAGAATTCCACAGGCCACACAGAGATTCCCTAACTGGTCCCTCCCATGCTGCCTCCCAGTCCCCACCCTCTCAGGGCTGCAGGGCTCCATCTATAATGGAGGAGCCTGACTGTTCTCCCATTTGGAGCCTGCAGGGCTCCCAGGTGACCAAGGTGAAACAGGTCATGCTCACCACCCTTGAAAAGGCTCAGCTTCATGGCCACCAGTGGGGGTGCCCAGCCTCAAATCGCCAACTCACCGGGCCCACGCACACCAGCCTGCTACATACGTTGCATCGGGAGCCAAGGACAAGGAATTTGTCCTTGTTGGCGGCGAAAGGGTCCTTCAGGACATAGCTCTCCTCCAGCAGGCTGCAGAAAAGGATGGCAGGTGTCAGAATGGTGGCACATTTGCTGTCAGGATGGCTGGGCTGGCCACCTAGCACACAGAGTGAGGGAAGAACAGGAAGCCTACAATTGTCATGTACATTGACTATAGCTATACCAGGAGCTCTGGGAGGTTTAGTGGTTAGCCTTGGGCTGCTAAGCACAGGGTCCAAAGTTTGAAACCACCAGTAGCTCCTGGGGAGAAAGACTGGGATAACTACATCCATCAACAGTGACAGTCTTAGAAACCCACAGTAAAAGTTCTACCCTGTTCTAGA